CAGGTCAGGGACTCCAAGTGTGACTGCCCATGTGGGAGTGTCCAGCGCCTTAACCACCATGCCTCCTGCTGAGCCAAATAACTTTTTTGTTGTTGTCATCGTTTTTTAAAGAATTTTTTTTTTTAATTTATTTATTTTAATTTGACCAGAGAGAGAGAAAGCAAGCCGCCAAGTGTGGGACTCGAACCGTGGTCAGTCATGTGGGAGTCCAGTGTCCTTAACCATCACACCACCTGCTGCCCCTCCCCCCATCACTTGTTTTAAGGTCACTTTTCTTTCCCACTCATAAAAGTTATAAACTGCATGGCACCTGAGTTCCTCAGAAACTATTCAGGGGAGAAGGGATGCCTGATTTGTGAATCACTTGTTGCTCAAACTCTGCTGAATCAGGTTGTTTAAAGTTTTTCTTTTGACACCAACATAGAAGAAGAAGTGAAGATAATTAGAAGAGTTGCCACAAAGGTAAAAATCAAGAGCGAAATTGTGCTGTCTTATTTTTTACTCTAACAATGTTCAATAGGTGCTTATTGGATTTTAAACACAACAGTAGCTATATAGAACATATCAGGAATAGAACTGCCAGTTGTAATACATGTCTCTATTTTTGTCCTAGGTCCTGTATTGACTTTGTCAGGATGCCTTAAATGTCTTGTATTTGGCTTTTAACAATACATCACAAAAAGTCAGCATTTAGTTTTCTCTCCTGCATTCGGTTACATCACTTAGTGGCAACATTAGCTGGAAATTATACCTTAACAAGATCTGGACAATGCTTTATGAGCTCTTGTGCAAGATTGGTGAATAAAGACCAAAAGAGACTGAAAATAATTTTTTGAGAGGTTTTTGCTATAGGGCGCGTGTGCTCACCAGACACAGAGAGAGAGACAGAAAGTGAGAAATCACCCCCAGGGGGAATGGTCACGCTGCAATCCCTTCTCCTCCATTCTCCTCTTGGGATCTTGGGCACGCACACACACGCACCTGGCGTGAGTTTTAAGCCACCAGGTCTGGGACGTGAACCGCGGTCGATTACGTGGGAGTCCAGCAACATAGCCATTACGCCAACTGCTGGTTCCCTAAAAATAAATTTTTTTGAGAGATTTTTTCCTATAGGGTGCATGTGCTTGCCAAGGAGAAATCATCACCCAGTGGGATGGCCATGCCACAATCCCTTCTCCCCCATCCTCCTCTTGTGATTTTGGGCATGCACAGACACATGCCTGGCATGAGTTTTAATTGGCTGGGTCCAGGATTCGAACAGTAGTCAACTGTGTGGGAGTGTAGTGATGTAACCATTATGCCATCTGTTGGTCCCAAAACTCTTGAGTTTTTAAAATTCAGTTCCTGTCCCTGGACTGCCACGTGGGCAACTACAGTTTGAGTTCCAGACTGTTGGCTTGAAATTCATGCCAGGCATGTGTGCGTGTGTGCGTGTGTGTGTATGTGCCCAAGATCGAATGAAGAAGGAATTGCGGTGTAGCAATCCTGGCAACATCCTTGGGGAGGTGACTGCTCACTTTCCCTCACTGTCTCTCCAGCAAGCACATGTGTCCTAAGGCAAAAACCCCTAAAAAAAAAAAAAAAAACCCACATAAATAAATTTCAGTTCCTGAATGCCAGACTTCCCAAAGGCTTGTATTAGAGCAGTGTCAACTTTGTTTGAGGACACTGACTTATAAGTAGTGCTCTCCCCTGCAGGCACCCTAAGTTTGCCTTCTTTGCATCAGAAACCAAGTTCAATTTGGCATCACAAATCAGCAACTTTTTCAACAATTCAGCCTCTCCTTATGGTTAATTATGAATTCAGACATATAAATGGCAGAACTGACACAGGTATAAGACTATAGATGGGCCAGGGCCAGCAGATGGTATAATGGTTACATGGCTGTACTCCCACATGGCTGACTGTGGTTTGAGTCCTGGACCCAGTGGCTTGAAAATCACACCGGGAGCAGGTGTGTACGTGCCCAAGATCCCAGGAGAAGAATAGAGGAAAAGGGATTGCAGCATGGTCATCCCCCCAGGGGATGATTTCTCCCTTTCCTTCTGACTCTATCTCTGGCAACCACACATGCCCTGAGGCAAACACCTATGGGGAAAAACAAAACAAAACAAAACAAAAACAGACTAAAAGCCAGGCCACCCCATGGTGTTATGGTTAAGGTGACTCAGTCCCATATGGCTGTTTTGAGTCCCAGGCCTGGCACTCTGAGAAACATGCTGGACCCATATGTGTAAATGCTCAAAATCATGAAAGGGAGAGATGGATTGCATAGTGACCATTCCCCACAGAGAGTTTACTCACTCTATCTTTTGGGTGAGTACACCTACACTCCAAAATAAATTTAAAAGGGGGGGGGTGGTGGCTGGTGGCATGGTGTTCAAGGTGACTGGAGCCCACATAGCTGACAGCAAAGTTCAATTCCCAGACTTGACAGTTTAAAAAATATGCCAGGAGCATGTGCACATTCCCAAAATCCCAAAAGGAGAAATGGAGAAAGGATTGCAGCATTGCCATCCCTAGGGGGTGCTTTCTCACTCCCTGTCTCTCTTCTGTGAGTGTATGTGCCCTCTAGCAAATTAAAAACAACAACAACAACAACAACAACAACAACAAAAGAACCAGTTGGTAGTAGTGATAATGCAATGGGAGCCTCATGGGAAAGGTCCTAGGTTTGAGTCTCAGGACCATAAGCACGCCAGGCATGCACACATGCTTGAGATCAGGCCAGCTGAGACTAGGGGTAAAGCACTGTATAAAAACCCTGTTAGGGGTGCCTGTCTCTCTCATAGACACACAGAAGAAATAAACTTTTTTTAAAAATTAAAAATAGGGGTGTGGTGGTTAAGGCAGTGGACACTCCCATATGGCCGACCATGGTTCGAGTTCCAGACCTAGTGGCCTGGTGGCTTGCTTTCTCACTTTTACTCTCTCTCTCTCTGTCTCTACTCAAATTTAAAAAATAAATGAACAAATAAATGAAATGAAATATTATTAAAAAAAAAGACTTTAAAGAAAATAGAAATACTATATAACCCATTGTTCCCATTTCTAGATATATACACAAAAAAGAACCGAAAGTTTCCAACAGACTGTTGTACAATCATCATAGCAGTATAATTCCCATAGCTGAAAGTGTCCACTGATAGATGAATGAATAAAGTAATGTGTGTGTGTGTGTGTGTGTGTGTGTACATACATACATACATACAATGGACCTTTATGTCATCTCAAAAAGAAAAGAAAAAGAGTTCTGACATGTTACAAAATGAGAGACCCTTGTAGACATTATCATAGGTGAAATAAGCCTGTCATGACTCCACTTGTATATTGCCGATAGATAAAAAATTCATAGATACAGAGCATAGGAATGTAGCTGTCAGAGGCAATAGGAAGGGGAATGAGAAAATTTTTAACGGGTATAGTGTTTCACTTCTGAAGGCAAAAAGTTATATGAAAATAGTAATGTATTACTGAACTGTCCAATTAAATAGTCAATGGAAAATAGTCTCCATTGTGAAGTCTCTGTTTAATGAAGCTGCCATCATACCTAACGAATTCCCCATATTCATAGAGCACGTAGGCCTTTCCTCATTGTGGATTTTCTGGTGATGAACTAGGTGGGACTTCCTAATGAAGGCCTTCTGGCATTCACTGCACTCATAAGGTCTTTCTCCAGTGTGGATTTTCTGGTGCTCAACAAGTATATGTTTATGGCTAAATGCTTTCTCACATTCACTACACTCATAAGGCCTTTCTCCAGTGTGGTTTCTCCAATGTTTAATGAGGTTGGAGCTGTACCGGAAGAATTTCCCACATTCACTGCACTCATAAGGCCTTTCTCCAGTGTGAACTCTCTGATGTCTAATGAGCCTGCAGTGATACCTAAAAGATTTCCCACATTCACTGCACTTGTAAGGCCTTTCTCCTGTGTGATTTCTCCAATGTTTAATGAGGTTGGAGTTGTATCTAAAGAATTCTCCACATACACTGCATTTGTAAGGCCTTTCTCCAGTGTGAATTCTCTGATGTCTAATAAGCGTGGAGTTATACCTAAAGAATTTCCCACACTCAGTGCACCTATAAGGCCTTTCTCCAGTGTGAACTCTCTGGTGCTTAATGAGGGTGGAGCTGTCCATAAATAATTTCCCACATTTGCTGCACTCATAAGGCCTTTCTCCAGTGTGAACTCTCTGATGTCTCATGAATGTGGAGCTGTACCTAAAGAATTTCCCACATATGTCACACTCATAAGGTCTTTCTCCAGTGTGAACCCTCTTATGTCTCATGAGTCTGTATTTGTACATAAAGGATTTTCCACATTCTCTGCATTCATAAGTTCTTCCTCCACTGTGAATTCTCTGATGTTTAAGGAAGTTGGCATTGTACCTAAAGAATTTCCCACATTCACTACACTCATAGGGTCTTTCTCTTGTGTGGATTTTTTGGTGTTCAACAAATGAATGTTTGCAATTGAAGGCTTTCCCACATTCACTGCATTTGTAATTGTTTTGTGAACTTTGAATCCCTGTTGGGCTTCCACTCTCTTTGAGGGAGGCTGTCCTGGAGAGTGCCTGAGACCACTGGCAAGTCCTTGCCACCCTCCCTGCATGGGAAAGTCTTCTCTCTCATGTGAACGCTGCCATTTTTTACTAATGAAGGTCTCCCCTCATCACTTCTAAAAAGACTCTCTCTTATTTGCTGCTTTTGGTGCTGATAAAGCTCTGCCTCACAAATGTACATCTCTTGCTCAGAATGTGTTCCATCATGCTTGGTCAGGTGTAGGATGTCTTTCAAGAATGGGTCAATTGTCTCACAGGGCTGGGTCTTCTGGGTAAAAGAACATGGCTTTGGAATTGTGACCTGTGACACTCCTTCAGAAAGTCCTTGGTCACAAGGTGCCTCCTCATCCTTTGTTCCATGCCAACAACCTGTAAGAGTGGAAAAATGCTGGTAAAATGACTTGATGGGAGGGGCAGCCCCATCACTTTTAACGGGTATAGTGTTTCACTTCTGAAGGCAAAAAGTTATATGAAAATAGTAATGTATTACTGAACTGTCCAATTAAATAGTCAATGGAAAATAGTCTCCATTGTGAAGTCTCTGTTTAATGAAGCTGCCATCATACCTAACGAATTCCCCATATTCATAGAGCACGTAGGCCTTTCCTCATTGTGGATTTTCTGGTGATGAACTAGGTGGGACTTCCTAATGAAGGCCTTCTGGCATTCACTGCACTCATAAGGTCTTTCTCCAGTGTGGATTTTCTGGTGCTCAACAAGTATATGTTTATGGCTAAATGCTTTCTCACATTCACTACACTCATAAGGCCTTTCTCCAGTGTGGTTTCTCCAATGTTTAATGAGGTTGGAGCTGTACCGGAAGAATTTCCCACATTCACTGCACTCATAAGGCCTTTCTCCAGTGTGAACTCTCTGATGTCTAATGAGCCTGCAGTGATACCTAAAAGATTTCCCACATTCACTGCACTTGTAAGGCCTTTCTCCTGTGTGATTTCTCCAATGTTTAATGAGGTTGGAGTTGTATCTAAAGAATTCTCCACATACACTGCATTTGTAAGGCCTTTCTCCAGTGTGAATTCTCTGATGTCTAATAAGCGTGGAGTTATACCTAAAGAATTTCCCACACTCAGTGCACCTATAAGGCCTTTCTCCAGTGTGAACTCTCTGGTGCTTAATGAGGGTGGAGCTGTCCATAAATAATTTCCCACATTTGCTGCACTCATAAGGCCTTTCTCCAGTGTGAACTCTCTGATGTCTCATGAATGTGGAGCTGTACCTAAAGAATTTCCCACATATGTCACACTCATAAGGTCTTTCTCCAGTGTGAACCCTCTTATGTCTCATGAGTCTGTATTTGTACATAAAGGATTTTCCACATTCTCTGCATTCATAAGTTCTTCCTCCACTGTGAATTCTCTGATGTTTAAGGAAGTTGGCATTGTACCTAAAGAATTTCCCACATTCACTACACTCATAGGGTCTTTCTCTTGTGTGGATTTTTTGGTGTTCAACAAATGAATGTTTGCAATTGAAGGCTTTCCCACATTCACTGCATTTGTAATTGTTTTGTGAACTTTGAAAAGCCATACCCTCAGTATCCCTGTATGGCTTCCACTCTCTTTGAGGGAGGCTGTCCTGGAGAGTGCCTGAGACCACTGGCAAGTCCTTGCCACCCTCCCTGCATGGGAAAGTCTTCTCTCTCATGTGAACGCTGCCATTTTTTACTAATGAAGGTCTCCCCTCATCACTTCTAAAAAGACTCTCTCTTATTTGCTGCTTTTGGTGCTGATAAAGCTCTGCCTCACAAATGTACATCTCTTGCTCAGAATGTGTTCCATCATGCTTGGTCAGGTGTAGGATGTCTTTCAAGAATGGGTCAATTGTCTCACAGGGCTGGGTCTTCTGGGTAAAAGAACATGGCTTTGGAATTGTGACCTGTGACACTCCTTCAGAAAGTCCTTGGTCACAAGGTGCCTCCTCATCCTTTGTTCCATGCCAACAACCTGTAAGAGTGGAAAAATGCTGGTAAAATGACTTGATGGGAGGGGCAGCCCCATCACAAATGTGTGTCAGATACACTCAAGATTAAGTGTATGGGATTGCAACAGGCAATGAACATTAAAGGAATTGAGAGGAAGACCTGCTGTACAGAGCTGACTTTGGATCCCATAATGGAAGAGTCCTAATGACAGGAAAGGACATAGGGAGGAGGTACAGTGCAGGGAGGAGGGGCAGGGTCTCCATTTCACTGCTTTGCAAAATGGCTTTCATGGCTCTGGTGACTAGTGAGCCCTGGGTAGAAGGTTGTGACCAGGGCCATTCTGTGGCATGGTGGTTAAGGAGGTTGAATCTAATATGGATTTTCTAATATTGATTCTAATATGGACTTGACTGTACAGCACAAGTCCCAGGTGTGGTGGAATGAAATATACACTGGATGCATGTGTGGATGTGCTCAAGATCCCTAAAGGGAGAATGAAGAAGAATAGATTGTGTTGTGACCATTCCCCATGATGGGGAGTGCTCTCTCACTTTCCCTCTCTTTGTGACTGTCTCTCTCTGACAAGCACATGCACCCTCTGGCAATATTTAAAATAAAAAAAGTAGTTCATGACCAGACCTAGAGAGCTCTTATTGTGACAGAGGAGCTGGCAATCAAGAACACTTTAGAAATAATGTGCACAGCTCACAACACCTAATCACAGGTCATATGTTGAAAGATGCTGTAATCAAGCAGTGGAAGGGAATGGGAGACAGGTAGTGCCACAGAGGTGGGAAGTATGAGGTGAGGGGTGGGAGGCAAGGTAAGCCAGAGGCTGGGAGTTATAAATAGCAGAAACAAGAGGAAGAGGTAGAAATGGAGTATGGCCACCAGCTCTAGCAGCACACAATGGTGGGCATGAGAGAAGTTCCTGTGTAATTTGAATGCTGCTCTGACATCTCACATTTCCCAACTCCCAGGCATCACAGCCACGTCCCTTTGAGCCTAAACTGTCATTGTGGGACTAATGTCCAATCTCCTACCTACATTTTTCAAAGTCATAAACTATGTGGGATATGAATGAGGCCAGTCCAAGGGGGAAAAACAAGGAAAGGGAGTGAACACCACAACTCAAAGTGACTCAGTCTGTGATATCCCACATTATATAATCATGAATACTTCAGGGAAGAGACTTGGAGAATCAATCTAGTGCACCTCCAAATTAGTGCCCAGGTGGGTATCTGAAATTGGAGACACGAGAAGGCACCAAGCATGTCAACAAGAACAAGTAGACAACTTGGACACACAGGTCTATCTATTTGGACAAAGAAACCTAACTAGGGACACGCAAAGCCAGTGAAATCTCTCAGCCAACTTCATTATTTCCATGTTCTGAGCCCTTTACTTATTTTTTAAAAGAATTATTTATTATGGGACCAGCAGTTGGCGTAATGGCTATGTCACTGGACTCCCATGTAGTCAACCGTGGCTCAAGTCCCAGATCCGGTGGCTTAAATTCACACCAGGCTTGTGGGCACTCGTGCCCAAGATCCTGAGAGGAGAATGGAGGAGAAGGGATTGCGGTGTGGTCATCCCCCCCTGGAGGGTGATTTCTAGCTTTCTGTCTCTGTCTCTCTCTGTCTTTCTGGCAAGCGCACGCACCCTATAGCAAAATCTCTCAAAAATTTTTTTATTTAACTTTATATATTTTGTTTTAATTTGACCAGATAGGGAGAGAGTGAGTGAGAAAGAGATGGAAAGTGAGAAAGCAAGCCACCATGTCCAGGACTTGAGTCATGGTCGGCCATTTGGGAGTCTAGCACCCTTAACCACCAGGGGATGGGCTGGCAGAGAAGTGGGATAGTGCACACAGCTCAGCTTTGACTCTCACAACACATATGCCAGGAAATCAAGAGGGAAAGTAGCAACCATGCTTGAGACAGAACTGCCTCTGAGAAAAAGAGAAAATCAGCACCCAGCCCGGGACACTGGGGAAGTGTGCAGTCCTTACCTAGTGAGGACAAAAGTGCCAAATTCTCCAGCATCACATCGCAGTACAGGAATCTCTGAGCCTCATCAAGGTGGCCCCACTCCTCTTGGGAGAAATATATGGCCACATCGTCAAAGACCACATGATCCTGCCAAAATTATGACAGTTTGACACATGAATAGCATTTGTAAAAAACTGTTTTCTTAGATTTTATATTTATTTTTTGACACCTATTAAATACAAGGCCAAACTAATAGCCAAATCTATTTATACCTCCCCTGTCACCCAGAACCCACACTGTGAAACACCTCATTATCTAACTCTCATACACCGAGCAATGTTCCCCTTGACCTAAACCAACCCAGGACCAGGCACCACAAAATTAAGGACAGCCCCTATGCCCACGTGTACTGATATTATTCAAACTAGCCAGACCTAAGCTAGCTGCCCTGCCCTTCCATGCCCTTTGGAAACCACAATAAAGGTTGTGGCCTAGCTTTCCCCTCACTCCTATCTTTTGCCTCCTGACCAAATTTGATGTATTGCCATGTGACCCTCCATTATGTGTTGTGTACTCTCCTTGGTAAATGTAAGGAATAAGGATTTTCTTACAATGTCACTGGCCTGTTCTAGGTGTCACTCACCACATGTCATGAATGTTTCCATACCTCTGCTAAGAATCTATGGAACATCTGTAACACAAACAAAATTGACTCTTCATATTCTCACTGACAGCTCTTCATACTATTGGCTTCCCCCTTCTTGGCCAATAGAGCTTGTCTCCTTCCAATCAAAGCCAAAATTCTCTACGGCCATTCATAAAAATTCCCCTCCCAACCTGCCTCTTCAGGTCCCTCACATTCTACATCACAAAAAGGAGACAGCTTTAATATGAAACACTTTCAGAAGCCAACCACTAACACCACCTCCACAACCATCACTCTTGTGTAGCCACCACCAATATCCACCTTAACTACTGCAGAAACATCCTCCAAGGTCTCCCTGCTTATACCCTCATCTCCACAGACTGTCCTCCACACTCTGGAGCCAGAGGGAGTCTCTAAAATCTGGAACGTATCACTCCCTATTCTGCTTCAAATCTTTCCTAGTTCCTATCACCCTCAGATTATAGGCCCAGAATTTCTGGTTGTCATTCCAGGTCCAATGTCTGAGTACCTCTATCTACTGCCCACACTTCCTGGCATTCCCACATTACAATTCCCTGAAAATTCCAGTGCAGTCTCACCTCCAAGCATTTAAACATTCTGAATACAGTGCTCAGGATGCCCTGACATATGTTACCCCATCAATTGTCAATAATAGGAACCACTCCAAATAACCCAGACCAAGGGACCAGCAGTTAGCGTAATGGCTATGTCGTTGTAGTCAACTCCCATGTAGTAGACCACGGTTCGAGTCCCGGACCCAGTGGCTTAAAACTCATTCCGGGCATATGGGCGTGCGTGCCCAAGATCCCGAGAGGAGAATGGAGGAGAAGGGATTGCGGCGTAGCCATCCCCCCTGGGGAGGTGATTTCTCGCTTTCTGTTTCTCTGTCTCTCTGTCTGGCAAGTGCATGCGCCCTATAGCAAACACCTCTCCAAAACAAAACAAAACAAAAAACCCACCCAGACCAAATTTAGGACACTGGATCTGCTGTAACCACACTCTAGAGAAATAATACAAAGAGAAGAACAGAAAAGTCTCAGGACACTGTTTTTCCTTCTATTGGGGTGCTAAAATAATATAGGAGATAAGTGGGATGAGTGAAAGGTAGGAAACACTCCCTCACCTGTGCAAGGTCCTTTTCTGCCATCACCAGCAGGATTTGACAGAAGAGGAAGGCCATAAGAAATGGACACTTGTGACAAGATGGATCCTATGGGCTCAGATGAACTACCACCTCTTCTCCCCTATCCTAGATCTCAAAATGATTGCAAGCTGAATATATCAACTTAGCTCTTTAGATCTCAGTGTTACCTCTTAGCAGCTCTGTGACTGGAAAAAAAAAAAAAAAAACCTGAATCTTGAGACCAGCAGATGGTGTAATGGTTATGTTGCTGGACTCCCATGTGGCTGACCACAGTTGTGTCCCAGACCTGAAGGTTTGAAACTCACGCCATGCACATAGGCGTGTGTGCCCAAAATCCTGAGAGAAGAATGGAGAAGAAGGGATTGCAGAGTGGCCATTCCCCTAGGGGGGTGATTTCTCACTTTCTGTCTCTGGCTCTCCACTGAATGCATGCATACTATAGCAAAAAAAAAAAATCTCTCTTAAAAAGAAAAAAAAAAAAGCCCTGAATCTTACTGAGCCTCAGTGCTTCTATTTATAAATATAAATACGGGACAAGAATGGTTCACACCTCACAGGGCTCATACTGATTTCAAACATTAGTAGCACATACTATGTATTAGCTATCACTGCCATTAGGATTAACAATTTTGTATGTGTTTTCAGTGCAAATGAAATAGCATTTTGAAGTTCTGGGTGGATAATTCTAGCTTAAGACTTTGGAGAATGTAGTAATAAAATTTTCCATGTAAACAAATACTTAGACTTAAATTAACATCAAAGCAGTTATAAAGTGTTCGCAGAAATCTAGCTTACTATCATTAAGTTCACTTCTAATTGCCTAACTACAGTTAGAGGAATATCGGTTAAGTAGCATATCAATGTTTCACCCTTTTTTTTTTCTTTAATCTGTGATAGAGTGCATGCGTGCGACAGAGAAAAAGAGAGAACAGAACTCTCCACAGAGTTTGGACATGCAGTAATTCCTTTCCTCCAGCATCCCAGCCTGACAGATCTTGAGTATGCCTGGTGTTTCAGGTAGACCAAGCTGGAAATTTGAATTACAGTTGCCATGTAGGATCCAGCTTCCCTTGAACAGTGCATTACTGTTGTGCCATGAAAGTGGCATCATTTTTAAATAGAGCTGTAGGGAGAGGCTAAGCAGGAAGATCAGATATTGGTCCCTTCTGCAACTAGGTGTGCCTGCTACATAATGCTTTGATGAGAGGTTGATGGGGACTCTGACTGGAGCAGTAGGTCATCCCCTATTGCCATGACGTGTTGAGGATAAAAGGAAGCAGTGTCCTGGTCTGGACCAGCAGCCCTACTGGCCTGGATGCGTATTCTCTTGTTACACAGAAAATGGCCCTAATAGCCATGGTTGTAGGTAGGTATAGATTGTAATCCACCTCACACCTATGTCTCTATCCCAGGACAGATCCTTACCCCATTCAATGCTCCCATTTTGCAGACAGGGGCTAGAATCCCTCCTCTTTCTGGAGAGAATATCAGCGTTGTGGATCTATTTATGACATGCCCTCTAAGCCTCAGTCCTCTCTTCCTTACCAAAGTCCATCTGAAACATCAAAAATACTAACCTTAAAACTTCCCCATTCAATCTGGTCTTGAGATCATGCCCTGGTCCAGTACATCCTCCAAGGCTTTTATATCTCTGACCTAGTCCTCTTCATCAGACTCCACAACTTTATGTGCATCTATCCATGTGACACCTCCATCTTGAGACATTTGGGAATCACCACGTCCCAAATCTGACATATGATTTTCTCCCTGAATCCCACTCTTTTGCTGAATTTCCCAACTCCATTCCTTCAAGAGGCAAAAACAAACCAACTAACCCCACCTTAGGATGGTTCTTTACTCCCTACTTCTTGCTCACAAACAGGAAATCCTGTTCACTCCATCTTTCAGACCTATCCTGAATCTCATCACAACTCCCCTCTACTGCCACCAACCTGGTCTAGCCCCCACAATTCTCCTGAGTTGACTGCACTGGCCTCCCCAGTGTAAACGTCTAACTCTGGGTAAGCCCCTCCTATAGCCCTCTCGACACAACCTTCCATGGCTTCCAGATGCTTCGGTGCCACCTCAGGCGAGACTCCACCTCATCCTGTCACCTGCGGACAGAAAACACGCCGGGTTCCCTAAGCTGCCGACTCAGCACCCACAGGCCGCTGCATGTGCTGTTCCGGACCGGAACTCTCCTGCACACTTCACCAGGCAGGCTGAAAGGGGCCCGCACAGACCCGGGGGCTGACCTGCAGTGAACCGAGGAGACGCCTCTCCACGGCCTCGAGCACCGGGGCTGGGGTCGGTTCGGGACGCGGCACCCACCTGAGCCGAGGTCATGAGCACGGCCTCCGCCCG